GCCACGGCCGTCACCGCCTGTTGGGGAGGAGACTGGGGAGAGTGATGTGACGTCAGAGCGACGCCACGCAGGCGTGATGTCATGCCCTGGGAGGCACATTGCTTCCGGGGAGGGGGCCCACAGGTCTGGGCCCTGCAGGGCGCTGCGGGCAGAGGTTCCCCGGCCTCAGCGGCAGCAGGGGGAGGCTGGGGAAGCACAAACACGCGGGGCCCCCCAAAAATATAACAGGGGAGGTCCCAGGTGACTGGAGGCTTGTCGGCGTGGCGCCCATCTACAGGAAGGGCCGGAAGGGGGAGGAAGAACTTGTTGACTGTGAGGGTGCCCGAGCCCTGGCCCAGGCTGCCCAGGGGGGCTGTGGAGTCTCCTTCTCTGGAGATCTTCAACCCCCGCCTGGACGCTGTCCTGTGCCCCCTGCTCTGGGTGAGCCTGCTTGAGCAGGGGGGGTTGGACTGGGTGATGTCCTGAGGTCCCTTCCAACCCTTGCGATTCCGTGATTCTGTGAAGGAGGACCCAGGGAACTACAGACCGGTCAGCCTGACCTCAGTACCAGGGAAGATTATGGGGAAGGCAGTTCCTCCTGAGTGTGCTCGCCAGGCACAGGCAGGGCGATCAGGGGATCAGGCCCAGCCAGCATGGGTTCATGAAAGGCAGATCCTGCCTGACCAATCTGATCTCCTTCTATGACCAGGTGACCCGCCTGGTGGAACAGGGAAAGGCTGTGGATGGTGTCTACCTGGACTTCAGCAAGGCCTTGGACACTGTCCCCCAGAGCTTCTCCTGGAGAAGCTGGCGTCTCATGGCCGGGACAGGTGTACTCTTCACTGGGTAAAAAATTGACTGGATGGCCGAGCCCAGAGAGTTGTGGTCAATGGAGTTAAATCCAGCTGGCGGCTGGTCACAAGCACTGTCACCCAGCGCTCAGTTTTGGGCCAAATTCTGTTTCACATCTTTATCAAAGATTGAGCGCACCCTCAGTAAGGTTGTAGATGACACCAAGCTGGGCAGGAGTGTGAATCTGCAGAGGGACCTGGACAGGCTGGATCCATGGGCCAAGGCCAATTGTATGAGGTTCAACAAGGCCAAGGGCCAGGTCCTGCACTGGGTCACAACCCCATGCAACGCTACAGGCGTGGGGAAGAGTGGCTGGAAAGTGCCCAGCAGAGAAGGACCCAGAGGTGTTGGTTGACAGACGGCTGACTATGAGCCAGCAGTGTGCCCAGGTGGTCAAGAGGCCATCTGGCAAACCATGCAACCATGCAAACCATCCTCCATGTTGGGCTGCAAGGTAAGAACGTCGCAAAGCCTGTCTGGCTGTGAAAAGTCAAGGTACGGTTAAGGAACTAATTCAGTGAAGAAACTCCGGGGGATTGGGTGACCTTGAGCAGGATGAGCGCTGCTGTTGATGATCGATCCCTCTGGGTGAGAAGAAGGACCAGCAACCAGCGTATGTTGTCAAAGAAAACCTTTTGATTAAACAGCTGTTGAAAAAAGCATGGCAAAATGGTGAGTTCTGCAGGGTTTGTTTACTTGGGAATAAGACTGTTCGGTGGTCAGCATACAGGTGCAACATTCTTCTAACTCCAAGAAGGAATTCAGACAGAGGTTCAAGAGAAGGTTCATTTATCAGAGTTAAAATGCCAGAAAGGCTTTTGAGTATTCAAAAAAAAAATAAATTAGGAGCTCCATCATGAAAGAAGATAGAAGGGGAAAGTCCTCTAAAACCATGGTAACTATCTTCTGTGGTAATTAATGGCAGAACACTGATGGCAAGACTTCAGGAATAAATAAAGCATTAGACATTTGCCTTTCTACATGAATGAAGATGAAAAAGCAAAAGCTGGAATGTGCTTTATCTCCCCTCTTCCCCACTGAACAGTTTAAGACCTGTTTATGAGCAGAAATTAGGCAAGATGGAAAGACTGTAATCTGCAAAACACTGTGAACTACAGCAGACATCAGAAAAGATAGGTAGCGTCTCCAAAAGATATGTTTAAAATTGAAATTAAAGGGGGAGGTTGGTTTGCCTTCAGGAGCACCTTCAAACACAGAAAGTCAGGACTGGTGAGAGTGAGGGTAAACACGACTCAAGCACTAATCATTTTAAACCAGAAACTGATAAAACCACTCCATTGTATGAATAACATACAATCAGGTGGGCCCAGCCAAGAGAAAGGACCCGTACTTAACAAACGTAATTACTGCATTTAGCCTCCTTATGCTTCAGCGTTACGGTTATAATGAGTGGCCTTGAAAAACAATGTTTTTATAGAGAGTGGTTGGTTTGCAAAGCTCTGCGAGGCCGTCATCTGCCCCTTGCTGTGGTTAGGCAGGTATTGCTCATCGCTCGGCGAACTGAACGAAGAACATAAAAGCGATCGCAGCAAATCGAGCCAAGATCATCCTAGTCCAGGTTGGGGTTTTTTGTCTCTTTCCCCACAATACTCCCACGGACCTTGGTGATCTACAGCTGAAGGTCTGTCTGCACCAGACGCGGTATCTTCACACTCAGTCTATTTACAGTCACCCATCATGAATGTGTTTCTCCTCCACACACTCAACCCACGTGCTTTTCAAAGTCAGGTAAGCTTGTAGTATCCACACGGGATAATATGCCTGCTTTGTATATAATTTTGTGCCCTCTAATTACACGGAGCTAAGCTGTTACATAACAATCCCCAACCTGCCTGCCAAGGGGTGAAATTCATAAGCAGGAGGGAAGGGAAAAGTCTTACAAATACCTGTGTGGCAAGCTAATCTTATCTCAAAGCCTTTGTTCTTCAAGATTGCTTGAGGAGTTAATGTTGCTTATGGTTGTGAAAGATAGAAGTGTTTGGAATAAGGGGGGGAAAAAAAAAGTAACATTTGCTGGCAGTACAGCTCAGCAGAAGAAAGGAGGAGAAGGATCTGGAACTGTGGAAGCTCTTTGTACAAGCTGCTGCTGGAAGCGAGAAGACTTGTCAGGATCGGCTCAGGGAAAGGAAGATTCAGCCAACTTCCGTCTGAAAGCAGGCATTGCTGACTGCTTTAGGACTTGCCGTGGTCCATCAAATCAATGATCCGTCAGACACAGTACCCTGTTTGCCAGCAACTTGTCCGCTTTGTCCTTCAGAGGACATCCTACCGATCCACATAGTCACAATATTCCCCTGGGAAGGGGAACAACACGCTGGCTTCCCCCACTGGCAGCACCTTACACTGTCAGAAGTCACCTACTCCCTCAGCCAGAAATGGCAGGAGAACCTTGATTTAGGAGGGGGATTCCCATACTCAGCCCTGCTTCCAAGGGTGCAAAAATCAAGCACACAGAATGCTGCTAAGAGCTTTAGAAAGTGTGACCCAGGATCAGATTTAAGTCCAAAGACTTTGCACAAACTGCTCCAGGCTCTCTAATCCCTCCTGGTTGCTCGTTAGAAACTTCCTGCTACGTACAGCTTTACCAGTTGTCTAGGAAATCCAGAGTGCCTAGATTGAATCGAACCATGTCATACTACTGGGCTTCTGCAGTAAGGCCCCCAAAAACATCCTCGCTGCGCCCGTACAGTGTTATCACATCGATTTGGGGAGTGTCTGCCTATCAGCCCCAGCAGATGGGATTGCCCTTCAGTGGGCTGTCTGCAAACAAGAACAGACAGTTCAGGCTCTAAGTAAACCAGGCAGAGGTGGGCTGGGCAGGAGAAGTACAACAGAGGTGGGCAACAAACAGCGTGTGATGGGCTGAGAAACAGAACAGGAGGAGACTCAGCACTGAGGTGGACAAAGGAATGCAGAGAAGCTACAGAGAGACTGACCGAAGGAGAGCGTTGGATAAAACAGGCAGAACGCAGTGTACAGGGGTCCCAAATGACTGTAGGAGCTGGCTGCTGTGTGCAGTCACTTCTCGAAGGGGGCCTCTCCTGGAGGGTTCACCCCACAGCTTTCCAATGGCTACCAGTCGGAGAGGCACCAGCAGGGATCCTGGCGTCTCAGGTAACACCTGCACCTCCTTTGTGCAATCCCAGGCCAGTGGGCACTCACAGGGGGGGCTTCTGGGGCCCCATTTTACCCCCAAGGTAGCCCTTTGCTCCAGCTACCTGTGCACCTCCCAGTCACGCGGAATGAAGAAACTGGTGCGAAAGTGCAAAGGAGATCAGCATTGCATGATGCAAACTGTAACCTGAGACAAGGGAGATGGTCCAGAGACCTTGCACACAGGTGAGTATCTGCGGGACCGACTTGGGAGGCATCTGACCCCCCAGAGCCCACTTCACAGCCATGCATTTGGAGGTAAGAAGAGGATTTGTAGAAGTTGCTTTCTCTGTTGTTGATGCAAAATACCTACACAGGTGCTTCAAATGAAGATCATTCCCCCAGAAAGGAAAATGAAGAGAATCATAGAATCGTTTAGGTTGGAAAAGACCTTTAAGATCATCAAGTCCAACCGTTAGCATAACCCTGCCACCCCACCACTAAACCCTGTCCCTAAGCAAATTCTGCCAAGAGGCAGAATTTGTAAGCAAGAAGCACAACTCCAAAACCTCAGCACAAATACCTTTGGAGGACATGGGAAGGGAAGACGTAGGATGGCGTTTTCCTCAGAAAGCTTGTCAACTCACCGGACGCATTCCTGTGGTTGAGATCCAAAAAATGTTGAACCTAGGTTAATAACCCATGAAGCATTCAGTCTTGCACTCTTGTCCTGTATAGAAATTTACCAGTCGTGTTCCAAAATAGCAAAAAAAAAATCACTCCAATGGAGACCGCCATCCTATCCCAGCTCAACATACCTGATATCAAGCGAATTCACTTTCTAAGACTATTTTAGTTTTCACATGTAGAATCTAACACCGTCCGAGTGTTAGCTTTACCCCAGAGTCTAAGAGTGGGATCCTTGCTGTGGACACGCAGCTCCACTAACGTTATTCTCTACATGGCCTCCTATGTAGGAGACAAGATGTATGTTGATAAGGTGACTTCTCTTCCTGGAATAGCTATGCCCATCTCCTGCACCAAATCAGCCCGCAGACTCTGTCTTGTGATATGCTGGAAGCTGCACAGGAGCTTGCTGAACAGCTGTCAGCTGGGGCTGTAAGTGTGTGTGCTGATTAGAGCCTATCTCCAGTTTCGAAGCATGGTGTCATAACTGTCAGGCTGTGCAGATAGCACAAACATACTGAGGAGTAGAACGTGTTATCTTTGGGAGGAAAAAAAAAACCCCAGCTCAGATGTCAGGGGAAGTTACAGAGTCTCCGCACAAGGAAGAAGTGGTACAGCCTGATTCATTTAATTTCTCCTAAAAATTTACATAGAAGATGTGTTTCTGGGGATATCACTGCATGGGATCATAGACTGATTTGAGAGTAGTGCTGGGAGGTTGGCTGGGAGGACCCACACAAACTGGAGAACGTGAGAAGACGTGATTCGATCACCAGAGGACAGAGGCATGTAGTACTGTGAGATGACTGCACGCCAGGCTGTATTATTATATTTTTTTCTACAAGCTTTTGCCACTGCCCACTGTTAAGAGACAGGTTAATAAGGAAGTGGACTCTTGACTTTACATGGTCCCATGTCCCTCATACCATAGCAGCCAGCACTAATGAGTAACCTGTCAATCCTAGATACAAGTTCCAGCTGTGCCCAAATGTGCCACGGTAGCCACAGGGTCACCAAGGAGGGAGACTGAAGTTCACTCTGCTGACAGGTCAGCCACACAGGCTGTGAAAAGAAGAAACATCTTCTCCCTGTGGCGCTGAACTGCTTTAACCCTGATGGTCGTCATCCCCAACCGATCTGACAGAGGCTGTGCCTGTGCACAAGAAGGTGTCACATCGTGTTGGCAGGCAAGGGAGAACCTCATGCTGATCAAAGTCAGTTGTAATCTGCCCTCTGTGAGTGACTGGCATCACTTTTGCACCCAAACGTGTGTCACACTGCATTGCCATTTCCTTGCAGGAGAACAGCTGGGGAAGATTTTATTTAGAATTAAAAGAAAGAGGTTGATGCCCTTTGGTTCAATTGTCTGGTTTTTGGTTTTTTTTTTCCTTTGAATGAGAAGTGAAGCAGTGTGAGCCATGGATGCCTTGCTTTTAAGATCATTCACCTGGCATCATTCCAGTTCTTGTGAGCTCCTGCAAAGCGAAAACACAGGTGTTAGCCCTTCAGGTAGGCTAAGAGAGAGGCACGCTTCTGCTGATAGCATCTTTCAGCCTGGCTGTTCAACACCTTGTCGCTGCCTGAAAGGTAGCATTTTCTCTGGGCAGGCTGGTCAGAGAAAGCAGGAGTTTCTGCAGCAGGTTTTACTCCAGCACTGGGTGCACACATCTTTAGGGACCGCAGTGGCTGCAGTCACATTCCCCTGCATGAGGGGAGCCTGGGGCATCTTGCACCATAACATACCAGGATAAAGCCTTCAGTGCTCCCCAGATATTTTGGGGTTGCTGCCTTCTTATAATCACCATCTTTTTGTGAACACAGGATAGCAATCCTGCAAGGGCAGCTCCAGACAGTAATTTGTCCACCACAAGGTGAGACATAACAAATGCTGCTAATAAAATACCTGCCATCAGTGTGTCTGGTTTCTTTTATATCCACGATGCTAATTTCCACCTTCATGGTGAAGGGTTTTACAAGAGAGATGAGACACAATGACAGTCCATAGCAACAAGAATTATCAAAAAAATGGGAAAGGAGAAAGGAACAGAGACGGTTCTGTGAAGAGCAGAAGTGGGTGGAGGAGACAAGGGGCCAATCTTGTAGTAGAAAGCACCACCACCACAAAAACCCCAAATTATATTGGTTTTGAAGCCACGTATTCAAATAGCAGCAAGATTATTCATTAGCATGAACTTCTAGCTGTAAGGGAAGTCCTGGAAAAGATCACTTGAGGAGAGAGCGGAGTTTCTGTTGCTAAGAGATTTAAGAGCAGGTTGGGTAAGCCCCATCGGCAAAGATGTACATTTAGTGGATCCTGTCTCGGGGCAAAGGGAGAGGTTTAATGACCTCCTCTCTTCACATTTAGGGCCCGAATCTCTCCCCATGCTTGCTACTTCTGCAGCTCCGCAGCCTTTGCAGTATAACTCTGCATGCAGAGCAATCCTCGAGTTCTGGTGTTACCCATAGATTTGTTTGTGATTTATTTAACATCCAGGAAACGTATAAAAGAACGAGGGAATGGTTGTTTATGCTGAGAATGTACCAAAAAGGCCACTGATTCCAGTTTTGGAGGTTGCGCAGTCCTCGAGAAGCCCTGACCTGCACTGCAACCAGCTAGTAGGAATTCCTAGATCTCAGGAAGAGATGCAGTTGTTATTTTGGGGGAAGAAACAGCTTAATTTTTTCCTGAAGACTTTCCTATACACACCCATTTACCCACCGTCTTGCAGCTTCACATCGAAGCAAACAAAATGGATGAAGGCTACATCCCAAATAAAAGAATAATTAACGAGACAGGCAGGGAAAAATTGGGCCTCAAGTCACGCTCTTCATGAACGTGGCCTGTACAGAGGCCATAATGTTGTTAAGAAATCCACAGCAAGCTGATGCTTGCCCTTAAGGAGGGTTTTCACACCCCAGAGCGGATGGACAGAGCTCACAAGGGGCAGGCAGGTGCTCTAATGCAAAGTGACTCTCCTTTCCCTTTTGCTGACTTTCCCAGTTTTCCGGCCGCGCACACCGAGAACGTCACATGGAAGGCTCGGAACAGAAACAGTCCCAACCAATCTCCCTGCCCTTCCCAGCTTCTATGAAGGCCGAATAATATCCTGAAACAAACACGAGTAACCACAGCCAAAAAACAGAGGCAGAAGGGAAACTTTATATACCCTTGGGAGTTGTTTTTGCAGAACTAGGTCCACTCTGACGGTGCCCGGGGTGCACACAGCGTCCATCTTTCTTCCTCACTGGCCTCGAGAGTGCAGATCTCCACACAAGGCTTCATTTAAGCAGGCTGTGGAAACGAGATGCATCATTAGGGCAGCTAATGACAAGGACAAGCCTCCAGTCTAAGCAGGAGCCGTGCTTCAGACAGCGCTCAGGCCAGCAGAAGAGAGTTTGCTCCCACTGAGTTTTCTCTGTCCAGTAAATCACGGCCTGCTTTCCTAAAGGTCTGTATCCTAAACAACACACCACCCGGTATGAAACAAGCTCATACAGGTCTCTGAGGTGAGCAGATGTTGCAACACAGTGAGGGTTAAGGAATGTACCCTGTGAGACATGAAAGCCAGACTATCTTAAAAATTCAGACAAAGCCTCACACCAAGTTTCTCACACGCCACAAAGAACAATGGTCATTAATGCAATGAATTTAATTCTCCTCCTCTATCAACGTTCATCTGGATCTGGCTTCCACATATTCCACTGTGTAGCTGGGCTGCTCATTGTGTAACTGAAAACACAGCAAGGTTTCAAGCTCCATGAGAAAGGGGAGATGTTAATGGAGAGGAAGGTGAGCTTGATCCTTTAATTATTATTAAGGGAGAAAAGCCTTGAATTTTCCCTTAGAGAAGATACACCATTGTCCTGGTTTCGGCTTGGACAGAGTTGATTTTCTTCCTAGTAGCTGGCATAGTGCTGTGTTTTGGATTTAGGATGAGAAGAATGTTGATAACTCACAGATGGTTTAGTTGGTGCTAGATAGTACCTGGACCAGTCAAGGAGTTCTCAGCTCTCAGCTCTGCCAGGGGCACAAGGAGCTGGGAGGGGGCACAGCCAGGACAGCTGACCCCAACTGGCCCCAGGGCTATTCCAGGCCACAGGGCGTCATGCCCAGTAGAGAAACTGGGGGAAGAAGAAGGAAGGGGGGGACGTTGGGAGCAATGGTGTTTGTCTTCCCAAGTCACCGTTACGCGTGATGGAGCCCTGCTGTCCTGGGGATGGCTGAGCACCCGCCTGCCCATGGGAAGTGGGGAATGAATTCCTTGCTTTGCGTGGCCAGCTGGTGTTAAACCACAACAGTTCTTTTTGGCACCCAACATGGGGCTTGGAGGGTTTGAGATAATGACAGGTTTGATTGGAATGTGCTAGATGAAATTTATAGCTGTTACTGCTGTTTAGCTATTAATGGGCAGGCTCCTGCGCTTGCCATGGGGTTTGCTCACCTTACTGTACCTTAGAGTCCAGTGCTCGTTAGGGGCTGCTTTTTGCTGTCATTGCTTGCTGTGCTGCTGTGCCTGGGAACATTTTGATAACCGCCATGGCGATGCGCCGGGGCTGGCAGATGGCCAGGGCATCACTGCTGTTCCTGTGCTGGAACTCCGGTGTGAACTCGAGTTGAAGGAACCGTGACCTGGGGATGAGTCCGTGTGGGAGCAGGACACCCCAAAGAGATGGTGTGGCTGTGAATAAGTCCACACCACAGCAGGTATATCTCAAAGTGCCTGTGGCGGTGGTTCTGTCTGTGCCACAGCAAGTATATCTTTAAAAGGATTGTGGCCCAAGGGTAAATCCACACTGGAGAAGGTACACCTCAAAGCATCTGTGGCTGGGGACGAGTCCATGCTGCAGCAGGTACACCCTGAAGCATCCGTGGCTCTGCATGAGGTCATGATGGAGCACCTCAGAGAGTGTGATCATAGATAAGCTCATGTCGGAGCAGGGCAAGCACGAGAGCCACGGGTAAGGACATGTTGGAGCAAGTTCATTTCTGAAGGGACTGTGGCTGTGGGTAAGGCCACGCTGGAGCAGGTACATCTCTGAAGGCGTTGTGACTCATGGAGAAGGCCACGCTGGAATAGGTGCCCCTCAAAGCAACTGCAGCTGTGGATAAGTCCAAGCCGGAGCAGGGGCAAGAGGAGTTCATCGCAATGTTAAAGCCTGTGGTCTAGACCAAATAGACCAGGGGTGGAGATTGTAATGGAATTGCCTTTAAATTATTGTAGCCTGGGATTTGAGTTGCTTGTATGGGCATTACTATAGCAGGAACCCCTTGTTGCTAGCCAGGCTGGGAGCAAGGGGAGGAGTTCATCGCAATGTTAAAGCCTGTGGTCTAGACCAAATAGACCAGGGGTGGAGATTGTAATGGATATACCTTTAAATTGTTGTAACCCGTTATTTGAGTTGCATGTTATAGGAATTACTAGAGCAAGAACCACCTCAACCACCAGAGGACAAGCCTTACAAGAAGCAGTGCAAGTGCAGCAGTGACCTGACCTGAGCTGGCTTTGGTGCCCAGTAACTCCACACAACACACCACTTCTCCTGTCCTGATTGACCAGTGTAAGAGATGGAACCCAAAGTCATGGACTAAATGAAAGCAAAGGACATTTTGTGGACATTTCTGGACATTTTACAAGTGCAGTCCATAGACTAAGGGAATGATATCTGTGTAATATAACAAAGGATGGGAAGGGGGTGGTGGTTAATGAGGATGGACTGGGTAGTTTGAGACCTGAGCATGATGTAAGTGGTATGGAATGAGGGGTGGACACTGTCCTGGTTTCGGCTGGGACGGAGTTAATTTTCTTCCTGGTAGCTGGTATAGTGCTGTGGTTTGGATTAAGTACTAGAAGAATGTTGATAACTCACAGATGGTTTAGTGTTGTTGAGTAGTGCTGACTGCCCAAGGACTTCTCAGCTCTGCCAGGGGCACAAAGAGCTGGGAGGGGA